TATGAAATGAATGTATTGGATTTCAGAATCCATATATTAATCGCTATTTCCAATTCTCGACCAGTGTAAAGTAGTGTTTTCAAATGTTAATGACAATCGATAATCCGATACTATCTAATATTCTTTTCCAAAATATATTAAACATATGCTTAACATGACATGTGTAAAGTAGTGTTTTTCTATTTTTTTTTTTTAATATAACACACTCAACAATCACACAAAAAGCAGTAAACTACACCTAATCGATGATAAGATAATATCTCACCCCCAAACTTAATCAGTGCATTGCCTTCAATATACAATAATATGACAATGACAGTATAAAAATCGAAAGCAAAGAGGGGAACTGAAAACTCCCCTGATCAGTATGACGGTGGTGGTGGAAATGGAAGGAAAGACCCCGAGCCCAATGGGTTTGACAACGCTGGTGGAGGATGTGGAGGCAGGCGTGCAAGAATCTCTCTCATCGGAGTAGACTGCTGGCCCATCTCAGCTCGTATGCCGAGAACCATGTCGTATGTCAGATCAACCAGTGCATGCAAGCCATCAACCAAACCAGTATATTGATCCAATCGGCCGATCATCCGATCGGTATCCCAGCATAAAGTGGAGATAACCGCCTCTGTCCGCTCGCTATTATTCTGTGCACTCTGGATCTGAGTTTGCATGGTCTGTACCTTCAAATCCAAGGCCGTAAAGGCCTGCTGCAACGTCTGAACATTCTCAGTCATAGTCGCAAACACCTGGCGGAGCACCTGAGTGTCGGTTGGTGCCTTGGGCTGTGGATCTTGTGGCACATCATCATCAACCTCTTGGCCCCTGCTGCTGCTGTCCTGTCTATACAGACTTTTCTCCATGAATTCCTGGCGGTCTGAATGTTGATTGTGGACGGTCGACGTATAGCCTGCTCCTCTGGTAGGAGCTTCAGCCCATAAGCTCTGCATATCCCGCAAACGAGACTCGGGAATATGAGGGTGTGCCGTGTCCTCCTCCACTGCTCTTGCGCGTATCAGATTATATATGTGAGTGCCCAAGTCAATCTTGAGTCCCCGAGCTAAATGGTAGAGCAATGCGGCTTTTGCATGATCAAACTTAGTTCAGTGCGAGGCAGGGTCAATGTTGTGGCACACAAACATCATCAGAATCATCAAAGACTTGGTCAGGTTGTTATACAAGAAATCCACGCATCTGCTCTCCCATATAATACCTGTGTTAACTCTGGCCAATTCTGCTCCATCGGTACAGGTGTGATGCCCTCACTGGTCAAACTGTAATACTAATCAATCACCTCGGGAGTGAACGAAATCTGAACCAAGCTCGTCTATAGATAGGTTGAAGTTTGTGTAGAACACTAGAACTCCTGAACAAGTGTAGGATAGATGAGAAACGGCCTTTCAATCACAGTCTCCCATCCCGCTAGCTGAATCAGTGTTTCCAACTCAAACCCCGGAAAATCTTCCAATATCACTTGCCGCTCGGGCAAAACAATCCATTCAGTGACCACTTGCTCAAATTGAAGCTTGTGCGCTAGGCTGAGGAATCATCGCATGCCACCTTCGTCAACACGAGAGCGTGCCAGGGTGGAGGGCAAGGATGCCTTGCCCTTTCCTTTTGAAGTGGATGGGGCGTCACATGTGCATTTTGGAGGCATACCTGTCAACACAAGGAAAATCCAACATGAGATAGATATACGTGATAGGAATGCTCCAAACAATACCAAAGCACACAATTAAGGACAAAAATATGGATGCGGTATGTGGGGGACGCAAACAGGGACCGGAGGCTGGGAATGTGGGGAACGAAGGCAGGTGCCATAAGCTGGTCTTACGGCCGCAAGCTGGGGGTGGGGGGGGTGGACGCGGGCTGAAACTTGCGTCCCCCGAATTTTCGTGCAAACTTGCCTAATATATGAATGCAATGAGTTGAGGGTGCTAATGCAAGTCATATCAATGGAGTGTGTGAATTTGGGCACCTTGAATCAACAAAAAAAAAATCATCCAAGCATTTTATCAAACACGTTATATGCATGTGATAGGCTAGGTTGAGGGAAAGCTATAAAAATCATGTGAAATCCCACAATTTCAATCAATAATTCAACACCCATTAACTCCGAATCCCGTTCACCAAAACATATTTCACAAACATCCATTCTAAGTCGACAAAACTCCAAGTAAAATTCGAAAATTACAAAGGGGGGTTTAAGCCATTTTACCTTGAATCCTTTGAAACTTGATGGATGATGTGATATTGATGATTTGAATGTGGATGGAAGTGATTGAATATTGATTCTCAAGTGATTTGATGAACTAATTTGGTGATTTTTTTATGATCAATGTCGAAATTTTGTGTCCAAAAAGGGGGAAAGCTTATTGCTGCCGTGCGTGTCTAAGGTAGAATGGATGTAATTGGTAACGGTTTAACCTATGTGTATGCTTAATAGGGCCAATAGGCCATTTTGGTGGCCTTGCCCACGCAGGTCCCGCAGGCTTATGCGTGGGCATAGTTCACCAGATTGGCCTGCTTGATGCAAATTTGGAATTCCGACAGCCTCGGTGCCACTCCTACCTCGACTTTCGTGTCTAACGTGATTTAAAAGGTATGGAGGGTAGGTGGAACGGGGAAATTATTGAAAATACCCCAA